GGGAGGTGGCTTTTGGCCACACGAGTAAAGGCAAGGGATAAAACTGTTGAACTTATTTGAACTGTGATGCATGCACTGTATTTACACTGAAATGTTATTGTCTTAATTGTCTGTCACACAGATTCCTGTGTTTACTTCTATCTTACTCACTGTACTATTTACACTTTCCCCTCCTATTTCTCTTTCTCTGTTGAGAGAAGTGATTGGTCACACACTTCTCGCCACGCTCCAATCCGCGGCTACCACGGGTAGGCGGAATCAGTGACTAGTCTACGTTTTGGGAAGACGTACTTAAAGAGCTTGCTCTTAAAGTAGCAGTCGAGCACGGTAGACGTTCTGTTCCTTTCTCTCTCTATATCTGGGACGCCTTATATAGGGAGGATGGGACAGAAGTTAGATAAACCCAGTAAGGGTTGGTTAGCATGTGATCTAGTGGAAGACAGAGAAGGAGAAGAGATGGTTAAGAAAGTGAGGAAGATTGCTAAAGTATGTGGAATTACCGTACCTCTGTGCGGCAGATTGTAGCCAGAGAGCTGGCGTAAGTTACTGACAGAGAAGAAAGAGAAGCTGTCGGACCAATTGTGTATTATAATAATTGTGTTACTGGATGCTGATGGATCCCTATTCTCCCCCCCCCCATCAGTCCTACAGATCTCGTCACCCTCATCCTCTCTCTGCAGCTCCCTGCACCTCCAGTCCGTTTCTCCCGTCAAAGATTTCTGGTTTCCAAACGTATAAGTCTCTGTCCTTCTGTCTTGTTACTTTACAGCACTCACATGGTTAATCTTCATGCCTGCAGTCTCTCCCTTTTTTGCACTGTCTAACTTTCTCCCCCCCTTTCCTCCCCGCTTGCCTGCATTTCTACTGATAAGAATTAGAGACGGGATTTTTGCTGGAAAATATTCTAATTGTGTAGTATTGTGTACATTGTTCCATACACAGACGTTGTCAGGCAGGTTATGGAGCTATAATTGTGTAATAATATTATTATTGTTGCCATTTAGATGGCGTCAACAGATTCCGTAGTGCTATATATTTATAAATTATGTTTTGAGTATAAGGTACTGAGGATTGTGGGAGTGACGGGCTCACAAGATTGCATTCAGTGTTGAATACGGGATTTAGGAAGGTGTAGCCTGTTAACACTGATAGAGGGAATATGCGATGTTGTTAAGTCAGTATAAGAGGAGGAAAGTGATTAATGGCTAGAGGATGATAAGGGAAATTGGTTGAATTCCGTGAGTTTATTTTGCATCATTTTATTATTTTAAAGTACATGTTTCTAGAAACAGCTGTATGGGCTGTTAAATGCATAATGTTCTCAACTGTCTTATTCAACCTGCCAGGTCTGTTCATAGTTTAGTATTTCATTTTGCAGAACAGAATGTTGCTTCTCTGACTTATTTTAATAGTTATAATATAGTGTATTGTTGAAAGTGCGTCAGCCACCACCCTAAAGATGGCGCCTAGTACAGACCTATCTACAGTCACGGTTGCTTCTAAAGTGACGTCACTTCCGCCCTTACCATGCCCACACCTCCTGTCTTCCTTTCCCACACATATCATGGACGTCACCCCTCTCACTTCCTCCCTTGCTGTCATTTCCTTCCCCGCCCCTGTCATGGCTGCCTCCATCATGAGGCCTACCCCTATTATGCTCGTCCTATTTAGAGACATGTTGTTTTCCTTACACTCTACATATTATGAACAGAAACATTATAATTACTAAAACAATCATGCCATTTGTTTCCCTGTATCAGCAATTTGTCCGTGATATAAAAAAAAAAGAAGGTTGCTAAAATGTAATTTGCAGCTGTGGTGTGACCTACATATGAAATCTGTTGGACACGAATATAAGAGCATAACAGCTGATTATCCAGCTTCATCTTGCAATAAGGGAAATAGCCAAATAATGCAAGTTATTTTAAACATTGTATCTTTACTTAATCGAATCTTGCTAGTTACAGATCGTATGTTTACAGTAACATCCTTTACTTTAAATGATGGTTTAGCATTAGAAGGGTTTGTGACATGTTTATTAACCCAGCCACTACTGGTTATTCATTTTAGTTACAGGGTGGTATAATTGTTATAGTCTAATTAATATAAATGATAGTACCGCAATAGTTAATGTTTTATCCAAAGACATATAGGAACTTTACTTAACTTACTATTAACCATTATTTATAATGATAGACATGTTCAGACTGCAAAAAGCTATGGCTAATGACAGGAAAGGGGTTTGAGTCAGTAACACAGCCCATACAGAGGAGAGCAAACCCGCTGATGCTTAATGCCCCTGCCATGGCAGTGTCTACAGGGAACAAGGGGGGCCACTAGCCACTGTAACTTTACCTATTGAAGGTCACCCTACTGCTTTCCTGGTTTCCTGGTTAACACAGGTGCATCCCGCAGTGTTCCTAGAGAACAAGACCTGCCTGACTCATCGTTCCTGCCTGACACCGATGTCTCTTGTGTTGGTGCTGATGTCCTATCCTGCCTCCAAGCATTCATCACCCTCACTGCAGACGGCCAGGTTCAATTAAATACACACTACAGTTCTTTGTTCCCTTCCCATTTTACTGTGGAGATGATCTACCCACAACAGAACAATGCTCAATTAATCTTCTTTACTATCTAGCAGAACAAGGATGTGAAGCTTCACGTCTCAAGCTGCAATTCTGCCAACCTACTGTTATCTTCCTTGGCCATTGTCTGTCTCAGGGAACCAGACATCTTACCTGTGACCGAGTTAGAGCAGTACTGGACATTCCACCTCCAAGGACCTCGAAGTCACTACACGCCTTCCTAGGCCTCATTTCCTATTGCCGAGCATGGATCCCAGAAGCCTCGCTCCTTATGCAACCTCTTTATGATGCTCTCAAGTCAGACCCATTTTGCTTGTCCACAGAAGCCCTTGACAACTTCTGTTCTCTCAAACGTGCTATTGCTTCTGCTCCTGCTCTTGGCCTACCAGACTATACCAAACCCTTCAAATTGTTTGTTTCTGAAAGACAAGGCCATGCAACAGGAGTACTCACTCAGGCTCATGGTCCTGGAGGCCGCCAAAGGCCTATTGGATTTTTCTCCTGCCAACTGGATATTGTGGCCAGAGGACGTCCCTCTTGCCTTCGGGCCGTCTTTGCTGCCAGAGAGCTCATTGAAAGAACTGGAGATCTTGTCCTTGGCCACCCCCTGGTTGTCTTGGCCCCTCATGACATTTCTGCCATAGTCAACCAGGTCCAGCTTAAGCATGTTACTCCTGCCAGGCATCTTCGCCTTCAATGTCATCTTTTGTTGCCTGACAACATTACCCTCCAAAGATGTCAAGTTCTCAATCCGTCCACTCTTCTGCCACTCCCTGAGGGGGGTGTATACTACGGATTCATCATGGACGAAATTATGTTTCTCTTCTCACTGGCACCATCAAGAAGGAAATGCATCCCAACCTATCCTTTTATGATGGACAAGCACTCCTTCATGACGGAGCAGGACATGCCTTCTGTACCATGTGGTACAAACCAAACATCACTCCTGAACCCTGCTATGAAGATGAACTCTATAAGCTGGTTGAAGTAAAACTCACTGCACAAGACTTCTACTGTGATTCTGAAGGCAACAGTATGGTCTTGATTCATCTACCTCCGGAACTCAAGCATTTGTACCGTCATTGGGACACTGCCATTCCACATGTCCCTGTGACCAAGTTGAAAACAATATCATGGAATGATCTTGGGCCTATGGCAAAAGCATGGGCCACTATGGACGAATCACAGCTACAGGAAAATGGTGTTGTCAAATATCCAACAACTGACCACCTAAAAGCATGGCCGCGTCATTTCCTGGAGAATGAGTTCCAAGATTTAACCATAGTGAATGACTACGACCCAGATACACCTCATGACTGTTTTGAACAGATGAAAATGGAAACAACACATCTACCAACTGTGCATGAAGACCCATTGGTAGATCCCGATCTCACCCTGTTTGTGGACGGCTCAAGATATGCTGATGAAGAAGGAAGATACCATACAGGATATGCCGTAACCACAACAGATGAAATTGTCAAATCATCATCTTTACCATCAACTATGTCTGCACAAGAAGCTGAATTGCAAGCCCTGACTTCAGCATGCAAGATCTCTGAAGGAAAGCGCGCCAATATCTACACGGATTCAAGATATGCACTGGGCGTGGCTCACGACTTCGGATTAATTTGGAAAACAAGAGGATTTCTTACCACCGCCGGTACACCAATCAAGCACGGTTCCGCAATCAAGGAGCTGATGGACGCCCTCCTACTCCCAGAAGAAGTGGCTATTTTGAAGATAAAAGCACATGGGAAGTTGGACTCAGATGCAGCAAAGGGCAACCATCTAGCTGATCAGGCTGCAAAACAAGCTGCAAAAGAACCACAGGAAGTGGAAAGAAGAGTGTCCGGAAATGAAGAAACTCCCATATTTACTCTGCAGACTCTTCCAACTGACCTGAAAATCCTGCTGGAACAACAGGCTACAGTTGCCCCTGAAGAAATACAGAAGTGGAAACAGAAAGGGGCAGTTCTGAAGGATGGAGTGTACTCCAACAACCTCAATTTCTGCCTCCCTAAGAATTTGTACCCAGCAGTCGTACAATGGGCACACAGACCTGCACATTTATCAAAAGATCTAATGAATGCTCTTGTACAAAAATACTACCTCATTGTCCCCATATGAGATTCTATTTGGGACTGCACCTAGGCTAGGTTGCTATTTTCCCCAACAACTGCAACTTCAAACTGATGTTTTAGTAGATTATGTAACTGAACTCGCAAATGCTTTGAACAAAATCCATGCCCAAGTTTTCTCTTCAATTCCAGATCCTGATTCTGACACAGGCAACCACAGTCTGCTCCCCGGTGACTGGGTTCTGGTCAAGAAATTTGTGCGAAAACACACCCTGGAACCAAGATTTGACGGACCGTTCCAAGTTCTCCTGATCTCCCCTACCTCTGTCAAATTGGCCGGAAGGCCTAACTGGATCCACGCTTCCCATTGCAAGAAGACACCTGCCCCAGAGGAAGCTAACTCTATGCAACCATGTGCCTCTGGTACATTATCTCCTTAGTTGGCCTCCTTAAAGCCCAGCAGGTGGCCATCACCAAAGATGCTAGTGGGTACACTTTCTGGTATAATTCATCATGTACCCATGTGGCTACATTCACTTTTGATTACTGTGATATTGTAGAGTGCCCATTCCCTAAGTCACAGATTCAAGCCATTTATAAAGATATACCACAAGCAAAAGACCCTTACGTTTGTGTAGTAGATGAACAATGGGGTTATGACTGTAACTACTGGGGGGCTGCGGGATGGAATACTGGGCCTGCCTGGGGTTATAAACCCAAAAGTGCTTTATCTAAGATAGACAATCAGGGTAGATCCCTCCTTCAAAGAATGACTTTAAGAAAGCCTGGAGGAAGTACCCCTATGAAATTAATGTTAAATATTGAACATCCTGGCCCCGAGGATGCAGACCGATATGTAATGGGAATGTATTGGACGAAAGGTTCCTACAACAAATTAGGTCATTTCTACCTCAGAGATATGTCCCACTCTCCAGAGTGGCAAGGGGCTGATCATATGGTCCCAAATCCGCTAAAACCACATATCCAGTCCTTTAAAGATATGATGGCCATCGCTAACCCCACTTTTGAAGATACCATGGCCGCTGAAACTGGATTCAATGACATTAATCTGTGGTTAGAATGGATGAGGTATAATGCTAACAAACATAATAAAACAGCATGTTATGTATGTGGCGGTGCCCGACCCCACCTTGGCACCGTCCCCCTAATTCTCCCTTTAGAGATAGAAGATTGCTTCTTAAGCCTTTTTGCCTACCAATATGACTTTAATAGGTCCCTCTGCATGGCATGGACGGCAGAATACCCTCTCTTAGTTGAAAATGTTAAGCCACCAGATGGAATCACAGTCTATAGAGGTAATTACACTTGTTATGCCGTGTATGACGGGATTGGTAAATTCATGGGTAACTTTTCTAAAGGTTATTGCGCCACTTACAGAACTGTTCCTATACACCTGTTGCAACACCATACCAGGTCATTGGGGGATATTTACTGGTTATGTGGGGATCTACAGTTAAGATCTAGGCTGGAAACTGAGTGGTGGGGTGAGTGTACCCTGGCCAAAGTTATCATGCCCATTCATATTATTTCTGATAATCATCATGACACATACGACCCTCCACATACATCAGCCAGAGTAAGGCGCGAAACCCCAGTAAAAGGCAGTTTTGACCCCCACATTTACATAGATGCCATTGGGGTGCCTAGGGGGGTACCTAATGAATTTAAAGCTAGAGATGAAGTAGCTGCAGGTTTTGAATCACTTTTTACCATAGTCACTGCCAACAAAAACCTTAATTGGATTAATTATATCTATTACAACCAACAGCGCTTCGTGAACTACACCAGGGATGCCCTCCAGGGCTTGGCCGAGCAATTACAGGCCACATCCCAAATGACCTTCCAGAACAGACTGGCCTTAGACATGATCTTAGCCGAAAAAGGGGGGTCTGTAAAATACTTCCCGACACTATGACTTGTTGCACTTACATTCCAGAAAACACAGGTCCTAATGGTAAAGTCACTCTAGCCATAGCTAAATTAAATAGACTCTCAGAAGAGTTAAAGAGAAACTCTGGAGTTACTGATCCCTGGGAAAAATGGTTTGGTTGGATGACTGGTTGGCAGAGAGCTTTAGTCCAGATTGGTATTGCCTTACTAATTTTTCTTTTTATTCTCGCTCTTCTCATTTGTTGTGTCCTCCCATGCCTAAGGAAATTCCTGCAGAAAACTGTAGACCAAGCAACACCAACCTTCACTCATCTGACAATCGATGATCAAGACCTCATCTCACCCTGTATTCCGCTACAAACTCTCCCTTATACTGATGAAGTGCAGAAAGTCTAGGAAGGGACAGTACAGGGACAGCGTCCGTCTTTATGGGTAGACTGCCGTACGGAGAAGTAGTGGATAAGCCACTATGGGTTACCAGCGGAGTGAAGAGTGTTCCTGAACCGTACTGACGGATGTGCTGCAGCCTGTTAGGGTCAAGAGAGGGATAGACTTGCACTTTGCATTAACACTAAGTCAGCGGTCATGGGGTTTCTGTGTCTTTGGGCTAATACTTCTTCTGATACTAACAAATAAAGTTTTGTCTTTTAGCAAATAACATTTTAGGGGGGACTGTTGTAGAATTATTAGGCCTCTATAAATTTGTAAGGCCCCTTTAAATCCTCTTGCTATACCTCTAAGAGGCCCCCATAGTTTTACAAGGAAGCTTTGTCTATAGAACATAGAATTTGCATGTCAGCAAGAAATAGCTTTGATAAAATGTGTATTTACTAAAATCCTTGAAACTTAACCTTGAGAAACTAACAAGTGCCAGCTACGCTCCAAATGGATAGCTGCCAAAAGGCCCCTCCCGTCGAGTGAGCTCCTCATTTTAACAAAATGGCGCTAAAACCTGTAGGAGTTAAGAAATTACGTAGATAGTGACCTAAGAATGGGGAGGGCATTTTACTAACATCTTAGCACCTAAGCCAATTAACAATGTCTATTTGTCTATATCTTGATTTTCTTCAGTGATGTAATAATGCCTTTATAAGGGTCTGCGCACCCATTTTCTGTCAGAAGCCATTAAACTTCTCTGAAGTTCTTTCATTACCCTGAACCTTGTGTCTCAGTGTGAATTTACTTCTGCGTGCACGCAACTTTATTATCTTTAATTTGGACAGGAACAGATAGTCATTCAAACTAATTGGTTTGCAGTAAATTATCTAGAACACAGCTGTGGCTCGGCTAGGGGGTCCGAGGGTTTTTTGAATACCGTTTGTTTTTTTTGTTCGTGGATAATTTGAAGTTGGTGATAGGGAAAGAGGCAATTTTGCAAGACAAGCTGGATAAGGAGGTCCAGTTGGGGCATATGGCATGGCCTTTTGACTTCCCCCTCTTTTCCAACTTGCGCATTTTGCTGTTGGGACTGGTTCCCAAGAAGGAAGCAGGGTCCTTCCAGTTGATTGCTTTCCTACCCGGCAGGGGGATCAGTGAATGACGACATTGGGAAGGAGGTCTGACGGGTGAGATACGATTCCTTTGATAGGTTGTAGGAATTGGTGCGGGAAGCGGGTGCTGGAGTGCTGTTAGCTAAGTAAGACATAGAGTGAGACATAGAGTGCTTCCACATGTTGGGTTGTCAATTTCGTGGGTTGTTCTACCATGATATGTGTTTGCCCATGGGGTGTGCGATTTCGTGCTCGTATTTCAAGACATTTTATTCTTTCCTAGAGTAGGTAACGGTTCAGTGGTTGGGTTGGCGTTCAGTTACGCATTACTTGGATGACGTTTTGTTCGTTGGGTTGATTGAACCATGGGAATGCGGTGAGTTGTTGGGCCGTGATAGGGAAAGAAGCAATTTTGTAAGACAAGCTGGATAAGAAGGTCCAGTTGGGGTATATGGCATGGCCTTTTGACTTCCCCCTCTTTTCCAACTTGCGCATTTTGCTGTTGGGACTGGTTCCCAAGAAGGAAGCAGGGTCCTTCCAGTTGATTGCTTTCCTACCCGGCTGGGGGATCAGTGAATGACGACATCGGGAAGGAGGTCTGACGGGTGAGATACGATTCCTTTGATAGGTTGTTGGAATTGGTGCGGGAAGCAGGTGCTGGGATGCTGTTAGCTAAGTAGGACATAGAGTGAGCCAAAGAGTGCTTCCACATGTTGGGTTGTCAATTTCGTGGGCTGTTATACCATGATATGTGTTTGCCCACGGGGTGTGCGATTTCGTGCTCGTATTTCAAGACATTTTCTTCCTTTATAGATTAGGTAACGGTTCAGTGGTTGGGTTGGCGTTCAGTTACGCATTACTTGGATGACTTTTTGTTCGTTGGATTGATTGAACAGTGGGAATGCTGTGAGTTGTTGGGTCGTTTTGGGTGGGCGCTCAGATGTTCGGGGATCCGGTGTCAGAGCATAAAACGCTTGGGTCAGTCACAACATTGTCATTTCTCGGGATCGAAAATCGATACGTTGCAACTTATTTTTCGACTGTCAGATGGCAAATTATCGGTTCTCCTGGATTTGGTAAACCAGGTGAAGGGTGCAAGGAAGGTCCAATTATCTCTGATGCAGTTCATGCTGGGGCACTTGGCATTTGCGTGCTGAGTCCTTCCAATGAGTTGGGTTTTTTGTCGCTGTTTGTCATGGGTATTTGGGAACAGCATCACTTCATACGGGTCAACAGGCATCTCCGGCAGGATTTGCAGGTATGGAGTTCTTGTCTAGGGACCTACAATGAGCATTCATATTGGTTGAGGGAAGCCACGTCCAATGCGGCTCTGAATCTTTTTACGGATGCTTCAGGCTCCATCGCATTCGGAGCGTTTTTTAAGGGTCACCGGGCTCGGAGGCTTGGCCGTTGGGTTAGAAGGTTCTGGATCTGATTCACAACCTTACCTTTTTAAAGCTTTTCCCGATCGTGGTGTCCTTGGAACTGTGGGGTGAAGACCTGTGGGGGCACGTCATGGTTTTTCACATGGACAACATGAGCGTAGTCCATGTGATAAGTTGGTCATCGCCAGCCTCTTCCCACGTGTTGGTGTTGCTTTAGCGCTTGGTGTTGCAGTTTAATGTTTGGGTGAAAGTGGTTCATGTTCCAGGTGTGTGTCTCTCTGACTCTCTCTTTCCGTTTCAGTGGGACCATTTTTGAGAGGCAGACCGAGTGGGATGGATTTGTCCTGCATTTTTATGGGACCTGGTGGCAGAGTCTTTGTCTCCAGCGTCGTGGCTGGCATATCGGTCAGTGTGGTCGCAGTGGCTGTCCTTTGTCGACGGGGAGTGGAGGATCGCTACGGAGTCAGGGAGGTTCGAAATTATGTTGCTGTTCATGTCTGCTATACAGTTACAGGGTAAGTCGTGTGCATCTGTGGAATGAGCGAAAGAGGCTAGTGTCCAGAGGGTGCTAAAAGGTTGGAGGCATAGGGAAGGTAAGGATCGTCGCAGACCAATATCGGTGGAGTTACTGGAGGAGCTCTTAACGATCCTTCCGCAGGTGTGTGCTTTGGAGTTTGAGGTGTTGTTATTTCACATTGCATTTGATGTAGATTAATTTAGAAATAAACAAAAATGTTTAAAAGTCTATCTGTTCCTGTCCAAATCTGAGATGAATAAATTGCGTATACGCAGAAGTAAGTTCACACTGACACATGCAGTTCAGGTTAAAAACACTTCAGGAAATTTATTAGCATCTAGTTAAAAAGCGGGCACGCAGGCCTTTTTATATGCAAAATGACATCATCATTGAATATCAGATAATAACAAATAAACATCATTAATTGGGTTAAATGTTAAGTGGCTATGTCAGTGTCCACCCATTAATATTATTAATTGGCTCAGAGATTTGAGTGACTAGTGAGGCACCCTCCCATCATGGGATGTCGTCGCCATTGCTCTTTAGCACGAGGCTTACTCGGTGGAAAGGGGGGCTTGGGCGTCATTTTACGTAGTTAGTGATGTCAGTCTCGTGGTCTGTTCCAAGGTTCTTTTATGAATAGAACATTTCATTTTGTCACTGTTCTCCTGGCCTTGGATTATACTATGTTGCAAGTCAACGGAGATCCGCTAACTCCGGGGCTAGTTATGTCCTTAGAGAGAGAATACAATCTCTTATTCATTATACTGAATACTGTCAGGAAATTCTGTCATGTAAGGTGAACAAAATGGAGTTAGTACAATAATTCAATACAGGTTCTAATAAAGATTTTAATAATTCTACATCACATTCTCCCTTTGTTTTTTGGAGTATTCCGAGTGGGTGAATTGGTGGCGCCCAACTTGATGTCGGTGTCTCCTATTTTGCTGTCAGATGTTCGGCGGTCCGAGTCTTTGTTGGATCTTCAGGTGCGTTGATACAAGACCGACTGGGTAGGTCACTGAGCCAGAGTTCGGATTGGGACAACTCTGGACATAAAAGTGGGTTTTGTCTGTTGGGGGAAGTTACCCAACAGCTGACAGTTGAATGGAATGCTGATGTGTTAAAAGTTGTAAACTTAATAAAGCTGTGGCCGTTGCCCTTATCCATAATACTGGTCTCGTGTTTTTTGTTGGGGGCAACGGGGGGGAGAGGATTGGTCAGCAGTCATGTGTTTCAGTTGTTTACAGGACTGTCTGTGATTGCTAATGAGATGACAAGAGAAAAGAGGCATGGAACAAACATGTAGCACTTCAATTAGTGTATGTATTCATCATTTTCATTAGGAATTTATTATATAAAGTTCACAATTACAAAAAAATCTAAATAAAAGGATAACAAAAATGCAAAAATTCTTTATTAATAAATGGAAAAAATCAAGTACATCTGAAGCTATGAGAAGTGACGAGGTAAGGGAGTATTAGTCAAAGGAGCCATTGGTGTCTCTTAAAGAGCCAGAAAGATCTGAAGGTTGTAGAAGCTGTCCATGAGACTAATATCAGTGAGATGCAGAGCCTTATAGATGAAAAGCAAGAAAATAGCCATTGCTACTAACTCCCTTTAGAACAAACATGGTAAAATATTCTCCAGTCTGACAGGGCTATACTTTCACTCAGCACAAACTGTGTCTCAAAGCCAATATTGCTGAGTATCCAGTCAACCCATCCCCACAATAAAGCATATTGACCTGCATGTTATGGAGATGGTTTTACTGGCAAGATAAATGGACTAAAAAAGTACAAACCAGAAATGTATCGATATTAGACACGCACCCCGAAAGACTCACAGCTGTAATTGCAGCCAATGGTTCAAATAGTGACAGACTAATGTCTGTTTTATTTACAATATTTTTTATTTACAATTAAGTATTTTGTACCTTTAAAGGTATTAAGAATGGAAAAGAAATTCAGTTGACTTTAATTCCAGATTTCGACACTGCAAAATGTCCAAGGGATGATTATGAAAGACACTGCATCTGTCATTTTGTATTGAGAAAGGCTGATTTGACAATCATCCCACAGAGCTTCACCTCACCTCCCCCCACCTCACTGAGAGCAGTCGCATGGCTGCAGTGCTCCAGAGAATTAACGGCAATTAATGCAGAATAACAGACCCACACGGCGACAAACCGACGATATTCAAGCCCCAACACTGAGTGACAACATGGGGAAACAAAATAAAAAACTTAAAACTCACCCAGGAGACAGGTCCCAGAAAATCGGCGACATGTTCCTATCAAGGCCTAAGCCGAACATGGCGGCAACCCTGGATCCACAAACCTCATCCTCGGAGGAAGAGGAGGTGATGGACGAGCCTGACCCCATACCCGAGGCAGCTGATCCCCTCCTGAACTTACCACTCGGAGATCTCGGAGCCCCAGCCACCAAGGGGGATATACTGAACATTCTAAAAAATATACGCACTTTGTTCCGCACAGACATCGCGGTACTGCAAGAGGACTTGACCGCTGTGGCGGAAAGGGTGAGGGCCACCGAAGAGGACGTCACCTCCGTGGCACAACGCCAACAAGCAACGGAGGAGAAGCTCAGACTCCTACAGGTCTCACACCACACCTTGCAGGCCCGGATAGATGGCCTAGACGATGCAAGGCGTCGCACCAACTTAAAAATCAGAGGCATCGATGACTCTATCGACGACAAGGAACTACCACAATTCACCAGATGCCTACTAACCACGATCCTAAATCCCAAGCAGGCAAAGACAGTCCAAATAGAGAGCACCTATAGACTCCAGAAATCTCCAAGAGCTCCGGCAGGGGCTTCCTGTGATGTTCTCCTCCGCTTCCTGTCCAATAGAGACAAAATGGTGGTAATAACAGCGCTCAACAGCAGCCCCTACCAATTTGAGGGCATGCAGCTCACCTTCCTGCAAGACCTCTGCAGAGCCACCCTGACATGGAGACGATCAGTCCGGCAAGTCACCGCGACTCTCAGAGCAGCTGGGTCACGAAGGGAGCATCCACCTTCCGCCTGATGTCACCAGACGACTCAAGTTCCTTCCTGGGCAAACTCGGACTGGATATACCAGGCCCCAACGATCCCACTCCTGGAAGCTCGTGGGACGTAACCAACATCACCCCCTTTGTCCCTCGTTCCGCAGCAGATACCGGCTGACGCCACATGGACTATCATGCAAACTGGACAGAGCCCGCATCGGGCACTCGTTCTGCACTCTATTTTCTCGTTTTATTGTTTTAGTACTATCTTATGTTATTACTTTACAGTAAGCACGTTTCTGCTTAGAGTAGATCATATTAATCACACTCCCTATATAGCGAGACAATAATGCACCCCACCCATCACGGTACTAGAAAGTATACCCTTACCCTCTCTTGGCGCACAGGGGTTAATGAGTGCCAAGGCTACTACAAATCTGCAGGAGATGTCGAGGCAGCACACCACATCTCTCTTAACCCTCTCAGAGGCAGGCTAGCAAGACCATTTCACACTACAGACCGCCTCTCCACCTCGTACATAATAGGGGAGACACAACTTCCCAACCTCTCCCCAGCACGACACACTAGCCCAGGTCCCCGGGCTCTCTACGGGGAGACAGCTAACCTAAAAGCGCCACCAAAATACACTCACGCTTCCGACAGCGCAGGATACACTGTGGCATTACTACTGCCGTTCCCCCAAACCTAGAGCATCAGGGCACAAAATGTAATTGCAACGCCTGATAACAGAGAATAAGGCAGAGACCACTTGCTCCCTCATGCACATGGAACTAGCACACACTCACCAATCCACCTGAAACACTAACGCCACCCTAGAAGACACGGAGGCAGTAAGGCCCTACACTTAACAGGGCACAATAGCAGGAGGATGCAGCACCAGTCTCGACCGGCTGAACGAACTAGGGCCTGCGTATACTCCCAGAATAGAAAACAGCCCGCCACCCTTTCTTCACCAGGCCCCAATAAAATACCAGAATCGGCGGATACTCCAACCCGATGATAGGTTGAGCAGGGGATCCACATGTATAGGTATATATAAACTCCCCACACTTACTATTAGAGATATCACCACATAGGAGATTAAGGACCTCAGTCAAACCACGTTGTTATTTAGAAATAAAATGTGTAATGTTATTATAGCCACACCATTGTTATCCACTACCGTATGCCTAGTTTGCACCAGCTGATGTGCCAGTGCACTCATGATTGTTTCAGCTTATGCACTCATAAAACAAAGAATTAAAAAAAAATGCATAGTAAAATACATAGATATTTTCATTAATTGTATATTTACTATACTGTAAAAAAAAAAACATAAATATTTTCCATTGGAGTATTCCTTTAAGGTGCTGACACTGACTAAATGGATCAGTATAAATAATCAGGTGAAGGATTACTGTTCCAATGGTCACTGTAATTATCCAAGTGTTGGTTTCATCACAGCTTAATGGGCATATGTTACTTCACATAATTTGTAATATTATTATATTTAACACAATTAAAGACCAGCTGACTTTTTTCTTCAATGAACAAATATCTATCCCAGGGTATTTAACTCTATTATTCCGAAACCTATGGTTGAATAAATTTTAAAAAATGAAAAGGAGAACAATGTTTTAAATAAATATTATTTCAATTTTTTTCCCTTGTACACAAAAATATAAATGTGATAGGGAGGGGTTAAACCTGGCGGTAATAATTTAGCATATTGTTACCTGGCAACAACAGATACATCTTTCTATCTAAATCAATTCTAATTATTATTATTTTTTTTTTACATAGAACTATGAAGAGGATGTGATCAAGAACAAAGAAGAAAAGTCAACGCAAATAGGTGAGGTGTTTCAGAATATATGTTTTTATTAGATGGAGTCAATAACTTGCGAGTACAAATTGGTGAAGGTGAGGATAAAGAATGGGAGATAAAATGATGTTTCATGCTATGGCACTGCAGGGTCATTTGGAAAGATCGTGAAGATCTGATAAGAGAGCTGAAGGTTCCTGAATTTTGCGAGGAGCTGCTATAAATTAGTAAAACAACAGATGTGTATTAGAATGGCATTGTGACAGCTGTTATAAGTTAGGGTGAGGAATATGCAGTATGTGACTGTATTGACTGTATTATGAATATAGCAAGACTCCATGTCTCAGCCCAAGTGATAGTTTAATGTGAACAGTGCTGTATTACTATAAAATAATGTAACCCAATCTAACTGCAATTCAGGAAGAAGCCCCTCAAATGTTCAGGATCAAATCAGACACTTCAATCAGGGCTCAAACCGTGATCCTGTGGTTATGAGGGAGCAGAAGTCGTCTACCAGGCGCAATGAGACAAAGAGGAGAGACAACCGCAATAACGAGATTGAATCACATCCATTATTTGTAAGTTGGCGTAGGGGTGTAAATTCTTTGTGGAAATAGATGGCACAAGGCACAAACACACTATAGATAAGTCCTGACAAATATATGGCCCGGAGACCCTATGGATCTGGCCCGAAGCCAAAACGGTGGAGAGGTCTGCTGGTGACTTCTAAGACCTGCACAAATGACCTGAATTTAGGCCTCTCATTAGTAATATGGTAATGAGACTGACTGATGAGAGAAAAAGTAGATGGGAAGGGATGTTCAGTGTGGGGAGAGAATATTGGGCTGAAAGAGGTAATGGGAGATATTTGGGCTGGGGACAATAGGGGTTGGGGACTGGCTATGTAGGACTGGCTGTGAAGAGACAATGCCACTACACACAAATAAACACAGGAACACCAACATAAACATAATATGACATTGCACACACAATTAAACACACATTCACTGTAACACCAACTGTGACACACTCCCCTTTTTCTGTGAGTTTGCCACGAGTTTTTGGAGGGGCCCGTTTGCTTGCCTCCTACCCTGTGACTATGGGCCCTGCAATATACCTTGCCCAATACACTTTAACAGGCTCCATTCATGTAATGTAAGTACTTTTGTACTCCACAAAGAGAGACTTGCTGCTGGCCCTAATTTCTGCACCTGTTTTGGGCAGGAACCCATGCTTGCAGCCGGACAAAAAGAGACTTCCATGAAACTCTTAAACCCCTGCTCTGATCTGGGGGATTTTTGGATATGTTGTTCACCCATATTTTTGAGGGTATGTTATTTTTTGGGGTACTTTCTGAACTTTGTGAAAATGTGTTGCCATGTACAGCACACAATCCCTCCCCTCTGCCTGGAGATAATTGAGTTACTTACAGGACTTTACTCAATTATCTCCCAAGCAGAGGGGAGGGATTGTGTGCTGTACATGGGCGTGTCACAGACTGTATGTTTGTTCTGATTGGTTTGTGTCCTATGTGTTCCTGTGCCCCATCAGGTCCAGGGGGTGTTCCTCTGGCCTGGAGAAATGTATAAAAGTCAATCTGGATCATTAAAGCTCAAATGATCTTGCACCTTCATGAAGTCTTGGCTCATGTTTGGGGGATTGGAGAACTACATACACTCCGGGGATTGCTATAATCACTATACTCCCCTGAGTATAATCACTAAGCTCTTGTAAGAGCTGTTCCTGCTATGCTCTCTGGACTAAGAGAGGTCTACCTACTGGAAGCTGGATCCTGGTCTTGGGTCCAGGGTGGGTGGAGGATGGCGAGACCCCAACCAAGCTGCGGCGGTTTGTGGGGTTTGAGGTAGTTATGGTGTTCCAGTGCAGTGCCTATGGTAATCGCCAGCAGGGCCCATGACAAAGCACAAGGTCTGCCCCCCCCCACCCCAGCCAGCCCACAAGTCCACCCACAGGACTCCTACCTAGTCCACTGACAATGATGCAGGACTGAATGTGGTGTGGATAGTGGAAGTGAATTAGAATGTGTGTAATGGATGTAGTGTTTGTGTGTATTAGGTACTGTTTGTGCAGTGAATGCAGAGTGTGTGTCAGTGTAGTGAATTCAGAGTGTGTGTCAGTGTAGTGAATGCAGAGTGTGTTAGTGTAGTGAATACAGAGTTTGTTAGTGTAATGAATGCAGAGTGTGTGTTAGTGTAGTGAATTCAGAGTGTGTGTCAGTATAGTGGATGCAGTATGTGTGTCAGTGTAGTGAATGCAGAGTGTGTGTCAGTGTAGTGAATGCAGAATGTGTGTCAGTGTAATGAATGCAGATTGTGTGTCAGTGTAGTGAATGCAGAGTGTGTGTTAGTGTAGTGAATGTAGAGTGTGTGTCAGTGTAGTGAATGCAGAGTGTGTGTTAGTGTAGTGAATGCAGTGTGTGTTAGTGTAGTGAATGCAGAGTGTGTGTTAGTGTAGTGAATGCAGCGTGTGTGTCAGTGTAGTGAATGCAGAGTGTGTCAGTGTGTGTGTTAGTGCAGTGAATGCAGAGTGTGTGTCAGTGTAGTGAATGCAGAGTGTGTGTTAGTGTAGTGAATGCAGAGTGTGTGTCAGTGTAGTGAATGCAGTGTGTGTTAGTGTAGTGAATGCAGAGTGTGTGTTAGTGTAGTGAATGCAGAATGTGTGTCAGTGTAGTGAATGCAGAGTGTGTCAGCGTGTGTGTTAGTGTAGTGAATGCAGAGTGTGTGTCAGTGTAGTGAATGCAGAGTGTGTGTTAGTGTAGTGAATGTAGAGTGTGTGTCAGTGTAGTGAATGCAGAGTGTGTGTCAGTGTAGTGAATGCAGTGTGTGTTAGTGTAGTGAATGCAGAGTGTGTGTTAGTGTAGTGAATGCAGAATGTGTGTCAGTGTAGTGAATGCAGAGTGTATTAGTATAATTAATGCAGAGTGTGTGTTAGTGTAGTGAATGCAGAGTGTGTGTTAGTGTAATGTATGCAGTGTGTGTTAGTGTAGTGAATGCAGAGTGTGTGTTAGTGTAGTGAATGAAGAGTGTGTGTGTTTACTAGTGTATGTATGTAATGTAAGAATGTAAATGTAATAAATGTTTCTCCCCCCTCTCTGCTTCTTACCTGGTTCAGGGAGGAGGAGATTCCATCCCTGGTGGTCCAGTGGCATTGTGGGCCCCCCCGGCTCCCTATACTTGCAGGGGGGGACCCAGCAGACTGCACAGTACTTTACAGCTCTTCCCTCTCTCTAACTCCCGCGAGCGTGGCGTGCGTGCCGCGCAGAGCGGTGCCATGGTAACCCATGGCAACGCTCTGATGGCCGCACGTCTCGCAGGAGTTAGACTGAGGGAAGA